ATAAAGGGATACAATCACAAAATGTTAGCTGAAGGATATTTTGTTTGTATCCAATTGTGATTTATTTCAGTATAAATTTTACTTACAGCTTTACAATACTGGCACTGGCTTCTGTGCAGATTACAGGCCTGGAAGAGCTACTGCAGAAGGGTCTATTGAACTCTCCCCTTGCAGTGACAGTGTCACCCAGGTAATGTACACTTTGAGTATGTAGGCACTGTGTCAGATCTAGGGAGCCATGCAGATGTAAGTGGCTGGGTTGATACTAGTGGAAATACTGGCATGTTCAAAATTAGTATGTGCTAAGGCAACAATGCCCACGCTTCCACAGCTAAGTGCCACTCAAAAAATGCCAATGTCACATGTGTCACTGAGGTAGATAGCAGACTTTGCTCCAGGAGACAAAATTAAGGGCTTACTTGTTTAGTATATTTGGTAGTGTCTGGGGAACAGAAAGCTTGTCAGTAAAAAATACATAACAGTTCCAAAATATAGGGGGGAGGAGGGGGCTCCCTATTAGTTACTAAATCTGAGGATTAATGCCTAAACTGCAGTCTAAGGCGGGAGGTAAATTCATTTAGACTCCCTAGCTGGCATCGGTCTAGCTCAGGGTGAGCTGCAGGCACATTTCAAACTGCAGCACGTGAATACACTGTCAGAAACACCCTTCTGTTCAAATATTTATGAAACTGGAAAATTTTGTGATAGGGTGGGTTTATGTTACACATAGTCATGGTTCACAAAGCCTTTCCTTAGGTAAATAGTTATGCCAGAATTAGCTAGCAGGGGGAACTGCTTTGAAGGGTCAAGGCTGTTTGGTCTCTGTCACTCCTGTTTGGGTTGTATCTTAACAAACATGTACAGGAAATTACCTTTAGTATTAACATTTAAAAATGAACTGGGATGTCCATCTATCATTGTTCAAACAAACCCTTCCTTTCCCAGAACTTTGAATATAACATGAAGGAAATCTTACTTGGTTCTGCTCCACTGCTTTGCTTTGATGTCAGACACGGGAAGGTTGTCCCTCAAAACTGTACAAAGGAGACAGATAACAGCAACCAGCACTGGGATGTCCAGGAGGTCAGTAGTGGCTCTGCCATGGGGAAAGGCAGGTGATTGTGACTGTGGGATCACTGGCTGATTTCAGGATTTGTGTGTGAAGAGATGAGATGCCTGAAGGGCAAATTTCACTTTTTTACCTTTTTAACCCAGAATATCTCTTGCCCACTAACACTGGCTATGTAAAAAGCTTTTGGTTTAGAAATACAAACTACAGAAATCCCACCTAAAATCCTATTTCTTTGTTTTACATGTTTATTTTACTGGCCTTTTTGGAATAGAATCAGAATCAGTAGTTGTAAAAATAAGAGCAGGGCAAATCCGTTCCCATTTCCTTCAGATTGAGGGAGGGTTTGGAAATCCTGACCCCTCCCAAATGAGAGCCCTTTGTGGAGCTTTCAGTGGGAAACAATAAATTTTCTCCTGCATTGTAAGAGAAGAGCAAACTTCCTATTAGAGGAATTCACTGTTTTTCAGTGAACTTTACCCAGCAGAGCAGGAACTCCTCAACAAGACTGAAAAATGTCATGCTTTGGGACAGCCTGGGAAAATAGCAGTTACTGTATTTGTAGGGATGCAGCAATCCTCTGGAACAGTCCTACTGTAATTGTGTTTGATTCCTAAGACAAGTACTGGTCCTTATAAAATGTTGTGGTCTGTAATACTGAAGTGGTGCTGATGACAACCTGTAGCCATAGGAAAAATGGTGGTGGAAAAGAACTCTGCACCTACCACTCATGTTAGCTTCAAAAGGAACTACAAATATTCACCATGCTCTGGGCAGAATGCTAAATCCAGTCATTGTGTTTAGAGCATTGCTTAAAAAAATTTGAACAACCAGTTGTTACTGGTGATATATTGTATATAAATTTTCTGAAACATGGCCTAGCTTTTACTGGAAATCCCTTACTTTTAATTTGTTCTTTCTTTCTCTTCTTCTCTCATCTTGTAGAATGGAATGATTGTCCATGTCCTGTCTGGCAAATGCATAGAGGCAGCAAAGAGTGAAGATGAGAAGGACTTGTTTCTGTATGCGTGTAACAAGAATGCAAATCAGGTGTGGCAATTTGAACGTTCCCATGGGCTACGTCAGAGGTGACTGGCAGGTCGCTACAGAAGTCAAGTCTCCAAAGTTTAACATTACTTCTGCTTGGGATTTAAGATGCATTTCCTGCAAGGACAAGAAAGATGTTTGTGTTTGCTGTAGCATGCAAGGAAGTCAGGAATGTCTCTTGTTTAAAAGCCTGGCTCCTGGTTAATCCAGCTCTAGCTAAAATTTCTATTTATTCTGTGAAGCAGGGAATAGAGAAATTGTGAGAATCAATAAATTCTCAACTCTGCTATTGCAGAAGACATTTAGGTTTGCCCTTTGATGGAAACATGGAAAATTGGCTGCCAGACAGCTTGTCTTCAGTATATGCTATGACTTTTGAGGATACAGGAAAAGTGAGATTTTTGAAACTGCAAGAGGATGCCAGCTAAACCAGGGCAGGAGTTTAACCTTGTTTTACAGTGCCCTCAACTCATATAAAACAAAGTAGGTTTTGTATGTATAAAAGTAATAAATGTTTCCACATGTAATGGCAAAAATTTTGTTTTGCAGTTAACCTGAGCCAAATTTCTACTCTCTGTGAGATTACACAGAGCATAAATTAACACTTAATTAGGCATTAATTGCTCTAATTGACTTGGACTATTGACAGTCCTCAGTGTTTGGCACACCCTTCCTTAAATCCTTATCCACAGTCTAATTTGGATGGGAGAATGACTGAAATATTAATAACTTTTTTTTTGTTGTTTTTTTTTTTTTTAATTATATTTTAGGACAACTCCTCAGGAAACTTTTGCAGTAGTAAGGAGGGTAACAACTTCTCTGCTTATTTGGGAATAGAAAGAATTGGCAGCATCCATTTGCTCTTGTAAAGCCATGGGATGAGCTTACTATTATTACTATTATTATTATTATTATTACTATTATTATTACAGTAACAGAAGTGCTGGCTGAAAACAGAAAGTGAAGGGAAACAGCCAGTTTCAACAGTGGCTACCTAGGAACAAAATACTGGTTTTGCTTCCATTTGCTTGCAGCCTGAGTTAAGTCTTTCAGGCTGTCAGTTTTAGCCAAGAAGATTGTGTAGATTCTTGCTGTTGTGGGTCTTCGAGATGATCCTGAAAAAAACAAATTTTCTAAAGAAGTTTCTTCTGTAGAGCCTACATTGCTGCTGACCTGCTGTCTTTCAAAGGAGTGAATGAGAGATGAGGTTAAATAACAAGAATGGTCTCACACAATATGAACTTAGCCAAGCAAACTTCCACCTCAGTATCTCATTAGGGTACTTTCCTTTCCGAAGATAAAATCAATTAAATCAATGATGACACTTCCCAAGAGCCTGCTAAGAGTCTTCCCACATCAACACCTGATTTATAGTATAACTCTGATCAACATCTGATTTATAGTATAAATCAATCACAGTCCTATGTACATATTAAAGGGGAAGGGTATCATTAATGAAATTCATTTAGGTTTTGAATTATTTCCAAGAGACAGAAAATTGTGGGTTTTTTTTTTAAATGTACAGCACATTGTTTAAACTTTAGAGAATGGAAGGACTAACAGATTATTCTGCTTAGAGCCTTCCAGTTACCTGCTCTCAGTAAATCACAATAAATTGGTATCAAGCAAAACTGATTACAACAGAGGACACGAAGAGTATTCTCTGTTGTGTTGTCCAAAACATCTCCCAGTGTCTAACTCTCTGTCTACTTTGAGTGCTAAAGATTCCACACTGTGTTAAGACATCACTCCAATCATCTTGATTACCACTTATGCTTTCTTTGATAGCATCAGAATCTCTTACTATTTCTGCTGTATCATTTAAAATCTCCTGAGACATTCTGGAAAATGCTTTAATTTTCAGCTAAGATGAAGATAGCAACCTCTTCCAGAACACCAAGTGATACCTGACCATTGCCCAAATCCAGGGTGAGAAAAGAGAATTTTAAAAATTGCATAAATGCTGTTTTAATGACATGTGATGCTTTTATTTTAAATTATGAGTATGCCAGGTTTTTAAATTATGTATTATTTATTATATTTTGGACACCACACTGGGAATATAATTCCTTCAGAATTTAGGTAAATGTTAAAAAAATGTGTATACAAATATGGCAATTGACCACAAGTGATATTTATCACAAAGAAGAATGAAAATATTTCTGGTTTAGAGAGGAAATGTTTGGAATTTCAGAGACATGGACATCTTCATTTACACTACTTTTCAATATTGTGATAAAAACATAGAAAATAAGGTTTGCTGTAGATATATGTACCATAGAAAAATATGTTACCTAATACCTCTTCAAAAAATAAAATTAAAATCTATGGTGCAGTGCCATTTAGAAAATAATTGTTAATGCACTTGTTTTACTTACTAACAGAGTAAATGTATGTTTGGTTTCCAAGGGAACTAAATTCCAGAGCATGGGCCAGAAGGGGACATGGATTGTGGAGCACACTTCCCTCTAATAGAAACATAACTTAGAACACACAAATTAAAAAAAAAAAAAAAAAAACCCAAAAAACCACCCAACAAACAAAAACAAACAAACAAAAAAAAACCCAAAGGAAAGCATCTATCCCTGTTTTTCCTATTTTCTTTCCTATATGGCTTTTAAATGGATTGGTTGGTTGTACCAATACTGTTTCCTCATTGTGGTCATTTAGACTTTGCCCCTGTGGTTACATCTATCAGCTACTCTTCTCCTCATGGAACTGGGCTCAACAAAGAGTGGTGGCTAAGTATGCTGGTATATTTTCTTCATTTCTACCCATCTTTCATTTAATACTAGCACACAATGATGCTTTGAGCACCACAAAACATAGAATTACATTCAGTTCTCTATTTAGACATGGTCAACATTCCAGGTTCCACTAATTCCCGTGACAGGAGAGAAACGTAAGGACAAAATGTTTCAGGTAAGAATTAAACAGTTTAAACTTTGAAGACCTCCAAATGAGAGCCTCAGGCAAGAGCAAAGGAATTCCAGCATAACAAATAAATACCTTATAGTGTAACTCCACCTGTTTCTTTGAATTTCACAACCCAGGCACAGTGCTTTGAGCCAAACCCACCCATGAAGCTGAGCTAAAAGGTCAGATTCAAGAACAGGTCACATTTTGGTTGACAGCACTTACTAAACAGTCTAGTTTATTCCTCTCCCAGCTCATAGAAAATGGAAAAAAATAGAGTTGAAATACTGTTCAGAGTACTTTTAAACTGAGCCCCAGTTGATGCAGTTGGTGTTGGCCATAGGCTGGGGTTTGTCCTGTTAGGTGAGGTGCCATCACTGGCACAGAGAAGCAATGGCAGAATTCCTCTCCATGTGTTATGCTGAAGTCTAAACGGGGATGGGAGGTTTACCAACCTTCATGCTAAATCCTGTAGCACAGAAATGTTGAGGGTATCTCTCAGTCCAGGTGTAAGTGCCTCCAGGTCCTGTCATGAAGATGTTCATTGAGATGTTATACTGTCTGCTGATTGAAATGCAATAGCTTCCATTTCTGATATACCCAGGAAAGAATGGAACTATGTTCAGGCATCCTAGACAAGAACAGTAACAGCCCAGGTTTCCATAACAGCTGGAAGGTGACATATGAGTTAGAGCTTTCAGATGCTGACTTTGTATCTCATTTTAACTCAAGCAGTTCTATTCAAACTGCAAACATATTGGAATAGAGTAAAAAAGGAGTGTTTTGCAAATAGGTAACATGTTTTTAAGCTCATGTTTTTAAGCTATGCAAACTGCACGTGTCTGCCCTGAATAAAGTGTATCAGTGCACAGAGAAACATATTTTTATTTCCTTCATTGTGTTATGATTTGTTAATGCCTTGTTTTCCTCATGCTGCAGCACAGCTGGTCTGCAAAAAGTCCAGTCAGAAAGCATCCAGTGGCAATATCCTCATGCAGCCATCACCTGATAGTCTTACAGAAAAGTACATCTTGTCAGGACTTGTCGGCATCTTAGAGGGGGTTTGATTTTGCAGACCTCTGCCATAATTTCCATTGGTTTCATTGGAAAAGTCTGAGTAAGAACTCCAAATTCAGAGTCCCTGGAAAGCATGAACTCCGGCACACCCTTCAGGCAGCTCACAGCTGCTTATTCACCAGGTGCTTTGGAAGGATGTTTTGGAAAAACAATCTGGCTACATGACTTGAGAAAGAAGCCATAGTGGTTTCACTATCTTTCTAGCTGATAATTTTTAATTATTTTTTTTTAATTAGCTATCACTCTTGGGGATGATTATGCTTTAGACATGTGGAACAGGATTCACCTCTGTTAACTGGGCCCACCTGAACAGTAGTCACAACTAAGGCAGTTTAAGTTTCTTCTACTGGTGAACAGAGTACATTTCCAGAGGTAATCAGTGGCAAGTATTTAACCAATATGGGTAAATCACTGTCCAGAAATGCTTGCTCTCTCTAATTATTAGAGAGGGTTTATTGATAATTAATTTAGATGTCATGTATAAATTTTAAACTGAAGTGGAAGGAAAGTAATCCCAAAGAGTACCTAGGCTAAAATCCCTTCCAGGAGTCCAACCCCAGTGCCCAGCTCTTCCAAGATTCCTCTAAGATCTGGCTTTAGGCACAGAGATGACAGCCAAGAACAAACTTGCTACCATCTGCAGTTTCCTTAAATGAGTTAAATCCAACAGCACACTTTTCCAAGACAGCTTCTTTGTTCACAGACTGAGAGAACTCGTTGTGTAGGATGCCATGTTAAAACATGATCTGGTCACAAAGGAATAGGAATTTAAATTTTCAGAAATGTCTCTATAATATTTTGAAGATGTTAACTCTAATATTAATAATAAATCTTCTGTATCTTTCTGCTGAGTAGGCTGGAAGGCTGCAGCAGAATTTTTAGGACACAGATACAGGTGCCAGGATTGTTTGCAAGGTTCTTCTTAGCTTGAACCTAAGTTACAGACAGACCAGCCTGAGGGCTGAATGCATTACTCAGTTTCTAAGTAGCTGCACAATGTCCTTACTTAGAGTCCATGACCTTTGGTAATACTACCGTGATACTTATTTACACCAATGGTAATTTTGTGTAACAAATTGAAAAAAAGGTGAAAGTAATTAACTTTTTGAAAACTTGCATATTATAAAAATATTTAATATATTTCAAAATATCTAATCTCTTTTGTGAAATTACTCAAAAGATTGCTCCTGCATTTATTAGTCCCTCAGTCTTACAGACTGATAACAAATAATCTAATAATGTCACTTACACTGTTATAGGCATAAATGAGCTTTAAAATACTACATCCCTTAGTATTGTATTTTTCACAGTATTTTTTATTCACTTCTTATTATGCTATTAGGTGAAAACTGGGGCTTTTTACCACCTCTTTTTTATCACTTAATGTAAGAATTACATTTAAAATTTAATTGCAGCTCAAAAATAAAATCATCTGGTACTTTGATGTATCAGGAGTTCAAGATGGAGAACATCACATATTTATACCTGAGTACAAGCCCTTGGGAGGCTGCTTCTGTCAAACACCCTTTATACATCTAGTTTGGGATTACTGAACAAACCAAAAGTGGTCAAAAGCTATAGTCAAATCAAAATGTTGGATGCAAACATGTCCTACAGAGACAACTGGTCATTGCATTAGTGTAGTTTTCTTTTGCTTTCCCTCTTATTAGCACACACTTTGCCTGCTTAGAAATCAAGAGCCACGCAGTAAATAGAGATTAATAATCAAGCAAGATTATATAATAATCTTGAGCCAAGCAGTAAACAGAGTTTAATAATCAAAGTATTTCAAGTGGGTAGTCTCATAGAATTCATCATGTCAATTAAAAAGTAAGTCTTGCAGTAAATTTCACATTGGACATGTTGACTTATAAACTCTTGGCTTTCGGTTGTCTTACCTAGTTTGTGTATGTGTCATACTTATCAAAAACTTATCATTTGTGGTGTCAAGAGCTGCTTTCACTTACAAATCAGTCATCAAACCACAGAGCCTGAAGACCACTTAGTCTGGCTGGGCACTGATGCTCCCTGAGCCCGTGCAGTCCAGCTGATCGATCCCTGGCTGCCACAGCAAGCTCCCGGACAGTGGCAAGAGCCACTTCTTCAGGGCAGTTTGCTGTTGATTCCTTCGCTTGCAGAAGCAAAGGAAACATTAATTTCCTTTCCTAGTGCAGCAACCTGCGGTCAGTCTGTGGTGTCTGCACAGACTCACATACACACAAGCCCAGGAACAGAGCCTGGTGCTGACGCTAAGGAAATAACTTTGAGTTGTGCAGTTTCGGCTCCAGATCCTGCTGTTGGAACAACCTTCAGTGTGCAGCCTGTGACAGAACTCTTAAAATTCTCTAGCGCCAAGAACAACTCTTAAATCAGTGATGAGAGGAAAGGGTGAAACAAAATAGGTCTTGACCCTGGAAAAGAACTCGATAAGCAAAATAAGAACAATGAGACCATAATTTGCTAATTTCAAGATGTCTATCTTTTCTATAACATATACAATTTTGGCAGTTTTGCTTAAGATTGGATGTAACATGATGCTTAGACTTGGCAGATTGTGATGATTCCATTTTGAGGAGTTTCCAAGGTTTCTGAATTTGATTTCAGTGTGGAACAAGACCCACCATTTCCTTTGCTCTCTGGAACAGAGCTGGGATGCTCACACAGGCAGTGATGAGAGAGGTCTCCAGGCCCGGCTGTGCAGGGCAAAGTGCTGGGCTCTGCTTCCTTGTCACCCATCATAAGAAACAATCTTTTCCTCAGGGCTGTCTTGCTTTCAATATGCAGGCAAATTTTGATGAAAAATTGTTTTCCTAGATTTTTACTGCTAGCTCTTGTGAACGTCTACAACATGCTAGCAAAGACTGCAGACTCAGCAAAATGAGAAAATCATTATTTTATTTTTAACAGAGAGAAAGAATAAAGAGGCAAATGGGAAGAGGAGAATTTAATTTCAGTTCCCAAGTACTTCCATCCATTTTTTTCTATGGCACTGGAGGACTGCAGAACAACCCAGCTGGGCTACTACAGTAACAGAAACCTCAGGTTTATGTTGCAAGTACTTGTTCCTAGTGACATCCCTGACAGACAGGGGAAGGCTTTTTTTACATTTTCATGTATAGAACTGAACATATTTGCTTCCTAAAGTGGGAGCAGTGAAAATGAGATTGAGGATGGCTCATGAAATGACTGTCAACCTTAGTGGCAGAATTGAACCAGGTACATAAAATAAACAATTGACAATCTCTGATTGGAGTTCAAAGTTAGGCCACTTCATTTACCAGCAGACATTGCTGTGTTTAGTAGCAATTACAGAGAGAGTTTTGAACTTTGTGATGTAAGTTTTTAAAAAACTAAGTCTTTATTTTCAGACCTAGGCCTCTGTAAGTGTCAGATTTAATGTGGTTCATATTGACGTTGTGTTGATTTTAATAAAGTCACCGCTATTGGCAGAAACAGCTTACATAAGAATGTCCGTTTTCAAAAATCCTTCATTTTGAATTCAAAACTGTGTTAGAGTGAAAAGCATGAAAACATGAATCAAAAGGCAAGAAGCCTAAAAAAAGGAGATGTAGATGTGAACATGAAGGTGATACACTATCTGAAAGACTACAGATCATAAAGTGACCTCATGAATTTGAGGAACTTGGTGATATTTGAGTACACTGGATTTAAAGACAACATGCCAAAGCAGAGAAATGTGACTTATAATTTTTTGAATCCACTTCTGATGACTTTCCTTCAGTCTGCTTAACACTAAAACATGCTGTCCCCCACACCGATGGTTTCAGGGACCAGGCATTCAGATCCACCTTGTGAAAATAGTCTAGTCCCAAATTAATAGTTATGTTTTGTCTCCATTCTTTATTGTTTTTAGGACCTCTAGTGGCAGAAAAAAAGGTATTTGTAGAGAAGGTCATCTGGAAAACTCTTAACATGAAAGCAAGTATGGCCAGTATGGCCATGAATCCCAGCCAGTAAGAAGTGAATGTGAAAATGCCATTTAATTAAAATTCTGGATTTTCTCCAGGAATACTTATCTTGTCTTCTTTCTCTTTATATACAGCATACTGCAAAAAGAATACACTGAAACAGACCTCTCTACTAGTGAAGGGAATTATGCTTTTGTGCTAACCTAGGAACATCATGGTACACTGATTTAAAAAAAAGCTCCACTTTCTCCCCTCCAGAACCCCAAAAAACATCCTATTATTTGTCTGTGCATAAATGTCCAAATCCAGGGCTCCTACTGCCTAACTCAATGAAAGACTGAAGTCTGCTAGGAAAATGTCCAAGACATAAAATACATTCAAAACTACTGGTGACTGTTAATGCCTGTCAGCAATCTTTTTAGCAGTTACTCTCAATTATTGACATTTCATTACGAGGTTTCAAGGTGACTCTGGATGACAGGTAAAATCACAAATTTTCTGCTTCTCAGTAGGAAGACTGATTAACTCTGGAAATGTACAGCATACTATGAAAATCTGTTCCTCCAGATAACTCCATTTTGACTCTTGACAACAAAAAAATGTTGGGTTTTATCTGCACCCCTTTGCCAGATCATTGCAGCTGTGCCAGTACTGTTAAAACCCCTTACCTTTGTGGATCTAGGACTTGTCTCTCTAAACAGAAGAAAATATTAATCTTCAAAAAGGGCAAGAACAATTTATACCTGCTCCTACACTAAGTCTCATCAGTGCAACTCTATTATTAAAAATGTTTAAAACATATCTGCAAAATAAATAGCAAAATTAATAAACCCTCTACATGTGGAAAAACTTTATGACCATCCAGAACACAGGAA